ACATTTAGTCACTGCAGACCCACCCAAAAACCAGCAGCACGAGGAACACGTGAAATGTGAGCCCTGATCTCGGCTGGCACCTCCCAGGGCCATCCTTCCCACCCCAAACCTGCCTGGAATGCTGCCATCCACGGTCCCCAGCCCACACTCACCGGGACAAGGTCCTTCACCACGTACATGTGGGGCAGAGGTGCTGACACCCAACCTGACCCTGCCCTGCCCCATCTCCAGGCCATTCCCTGTCCCCAGGGAGCAGAGCTCGGTGTCCCCTCACCCCCCACCAGCCACCCCCTCCCCCAGCTCATTCCAGCCAGGCCCATGGGAGCCGTTCCCTGGCAGTTCCCCCCAGCTCACCGGACGAGCCTGGGCACACACTCGATGTTGGCCAGGCGGGAGGTGAAGGGCGAAGCCACCGACGCCTCTGCCTCGGACAGCGAGATGCCCACGTCGGCCGCCCGCAGCGCCCCGCAGTCGTTGGCCCCGTCCCCACACATCCCCACGCAGTAGCTGCACACAAGGAACCCACCCCCCCGTCATCAGCACGGGGAGGGAACGCCTGGATCTGCCATGGGAAGCCGCCCCAGCCCTGGGAGTGTCCCAGGCCGGGCTGGACGGGGCTTGGAGCCAGCCAGGATAGCGGAAGGTGCCCCTGCCCATGGGACTGGACGAGCTTCCAACCCAACCCATCCCATCCCATAAATTACGGCTGACCCCCTGCCCCCCACCCCCCCAGGCCTCACTTGAGCTCCTGCAGGCTGCACACCAGCTGGGTCTTCTGCTCGGGCAACATGCGGGCGAACACCGTGGCTCGGACCAGGATCTGCCAAGGACAGGACACTCCATGCCCATCCCGGAGCACCCCGGCCCTGTGCCCAGGGAGAGCTCAGGGAACCTTAAACCCCCATCCCTGTGCCCACGGAGAGCTCAGGGAATGTCACAACCCCATCCCTGTGCCAACGGAGAGCTCTGGGAATGTCCCCCCCCCCATCCCTGTGCCCAGGGAGAGCTCTGGGAATGTCACACTCCCCATCCCTGTGTGCCCAGGGGGAGCTCAAGGGGCACAGGGAACGTCACACCGGCCACAAAAACACCCTCAGGAATTTTATTTTGGAGCTGTGAGGACACAGTGGGAAAGCCCAGGGAGGTCAACCTCAATGGAGGGTCCCCAACCCCACTGGAGAGTTCCCCAACCCCAACTTGAGGGTTCCCAACCTTGCTGGGGGATTCCAAACCCCAACTCAATTCCCTTGTTGGAGGGTCCCTCAACCCCACCAGAGGGTCCCCCTAGTTTGCCAGAGGGTTCCCCAACCTCACCAGAGGGCTCCCAGCCCCACCAAAGGATCCCCCAACCTTGATGGCAGACTCCCCCAACTCACTGGAGGGTCCCCAGCCCCTCCAAAAGGGTCCCCAACCTCACTGGAAGGTTCTAGTCCTGCCACAGAGTTCCCCAAACTCACCAGTGCATTCCCAAACCTCACTGGAGTGTTCCCCCACTGGATGTCCCCCCACCTTGCCAGAGGGTTCCCCAGCCTCAGCAGAGCACTCCCAACCCACCAAAGGATCCCCCAACCCTGATGGACAACACTCCAACCTTGCTGGAGGATCCCCCAACCTCACCAGAGCACTCCCAACCCACCAAGGATCCCCCAATCTTGCTGGAGACTCTCCCAAGCCCACTGGAGGGTCCCCAACCTCACCAAAGGGACCCCCAACCTCACCATAGGGTTCCCCAACCTTGCTGAAGGACTCCTCAACCTCCCCAAAGGACCCCTCAACCTTGCTGGAGGGTTCCCCAACCCTGCCAGAAGGTTCCCCAATCCCCACAAAGGGTTCCCCCAGCCTCGATGGAAGACTCCCCATTCTCATCCCAGGGCACCCCAACCTTGCTGGGAGCATCCCCAAGCCCCACCAGAGGGTTCCTCAACCCCCATGGAGGGTCTCCCAACCTCCCCAGAGCATTCCCCAACCCCACTGGTGGGTTCCCAACTTCTCCAGAGGGTTCCCCATCCCACCAGAGGGTTCCCCACCCACCAGAGGGTTCCCCCTGGGCTCACCTTGGGCAGCAGGTCAGCAAAGTGCTCACAAACCACCTGGAAGGATTTTCCATTGAGGGCAAAGTGGCAGGGCTGGGGAGGGGGGGAGGAGCCATCCTGCTGCTCCAGGCCCTGCCAAGGGAAAACAGCTCCTTGTTCTCCTTCCAGTCCCTGCAGAGCCCCGGGATAATGGGCTGAGCAACGTCCCCAGGGCAGGAGGGAGAGCGGCTGCCCTTCAAGCTCACTTTCAGGGATATAAAAGGGAGTGTTTTGGATAAAAGGCCTGTTTGATGGAGCTCTTGGTGCCAAGCCTGGAGCAGGACCTGGCACTGTCCATGAGGAGCGGGTTTGGAGCCTCAGCTCCAGCCTGACCTGCTCCCAGGGAAAGGCAGGTCGTATTTCCAGGCACATAAATGGTGATATTTGGGATAAAAAGCTTGTTTGGTTGAGCCCTTCAGGGCAAACCTGGAGCAGGACCTGGAAGCATCCACGAGGAGGATTTTTGGAACATCCTTTCCAGCCTGATGTGCTCCCAGGAAGAGACAAGAGCAGCTTAACTTCTCCTCAGGGAGGCATTTAATGAGGGCCAGGATCACCCCCTTAATTCCCTCTAAGGATGTTGATGCTGGAAAACCACTCCCTATCCCTGGAAGTGTCCAAGGCCAGGCTGGACGGGACTTGGAGCGACCTGGGCTAGTGGAAGGTGTCCCTTCCCACGGCAGGGGGTGGAATGGGATGAGTTTTGAGGTCCCTTCCAACCCAACCCATCCTGGGATTCTGGGATTCCCGTGACTGGGGGATAGACTCCATTTCTTAGGAATAAGGAAGGAATTCCTGGCTGGGAGGGTGGGCAGGCCCTGGCACAGGCTGCCCCACCCCTGGAAGTGTCCAAAGCCAGGTTGGAGCCACCTGGACCAGTGGAAGGTGTCCCTTCCCCTGGGGACACGGGATGAGCTTCCTGGTCCCTCCCAGTGGAAACCACCCTGGAATTCCATGCAGAAGTGAGTGCCTGGGCACTGGGGGCGTGAGGAAGCCCCAAAGCGTGTGCGGGGGTCTCACCTCGGGGGGCTCCTCGCCCTGGGAATGCTCTGCCGGCAGGAAGCGCAGCGCGGCGGGTTTGTCGTGGCCGGGCGGGGAGGCGCTGACGAAGATCACCCGCTCCTTGGGCTCCACCATGTGGCAGCTGCGGGCCACGTTCATGGCTGTCAGCATGTTGTCCCCTGCCGGGAGAACGCGCAATGGGCTTCTGGGGCTTCCAGGCCAGCTCAAACCCGCCGTGTGTCCCCGTCCCCGGGGGTCCCTCTGACTCCCTGGGTTTCGGGGCGCAACTCCAAACCCTCGTGCTTTCCCCGCTCCAAAGAAAAGCAGATTCAAATCCTGCTTTCCTGGCCGCAGGACACCAGGAGTTGACTTTGTTCTCCCACTCTGATCCTTGAAATGGGGGGTGTTGGCAGGATAGCGACAGTCGGGCGATCGACAGCGAGCCCACGAGCTTTCCCACACAAAACCCCCCCACACCCTGAGCCCACCAGCACTTTGAGCATTCCAAGGGCAGGGATACACCAACCCCGGGTCCAGGAGTCCTTGCTGTGCCCCCACAGCTGCTCCAGGCCACGGGTTCCTGGTGGGAAACCCCTTCAGGCCATGCAGGAGGCCAAGGGCTGTCGGTGTCCCCGCTCCCGGATCACCTGTCACCATGACGGGGCGGATGTTGGCGTTCCTCAGGAGGTGGATCACGGGCGCTGACTCCGGCTTGAGGACGTTCTTCATGACCAGGAACCCCAGGAAGCTCAGGCTGCTCTCCACGGAGTCCCTGGTGGGACACAACGAGCCCTTCAACACCAACACCAGGCACAGGGGATCAGTGGGTCTGAACGGCTCCAAATCCATCTGGGAGGCAGTCGGGAATTCCTTTGGTGTGGATTAGGGTCTAATTCCTTGCGGGTAGCAAGACATCCTTGGAAATGCTTGGAGCAAACAAGGTGTAACGGGAATTGGCACCAACCTGGGGAGCTGCAGGGCCTCCTCGAAGGTGCCCACAGTGCCCAGGGTTTTGCAAGCCAGACCCAAGACCCGGAAACCATCCGTGGTGTAGTGTCGGAGCATCTGGGAGAAATCCAGGGGCACTGGAAAAGCGAGGCCAGAACAGCTCCTGAAGGGAGCCCAACTCCCAGACCAGCTGAGGGGAGATGGGCTCGGGATGCTCAGCCAGCCCCCAGCCCCATTCCCGGGCTTCTGTCTTCCTGTTTCCTTCCCTGCACACGGCTGGAGCTGATCCAGAGCCCTGTGCCTCTGGGAAGTGCCCCAGGGCATCCCTGAGGATAACTCCCTGCAGGGATGCAGACGCTGGAGCAGCGGGACTGGTGAACCCCCATCTCCCAGTACACACCAGTGTCCTTCCTGCACAGACTGGCCACCATCTCCGGGGCGCCCTTGACGTAGACGTGGGCCGGGGCTTCTCCGGGGAGTTTCACCAGGACACTCATCCGCTGGAAGGAGGAGGAGAAAGGGAAACGCCGGAGGATCCCCAGGGGAGACTGGTGCTTCTGTGGAGAACAGGGAATGTCAGGGCCAGGAGGAACTTCTCCAGGAGGAACCTGTCCAGGGCTGTGAGGAGCAGCCACCCTTCGGGCTGCAGACCCAGCGGTCTGGGAGCCGGAGCCTCTCTGCTCCATGGGATTACCCTGTCCCAGGGCTGCTCTTCCTCAGGGGGAGGTTTCACCACAGCCAAGACCTTCATCCCAAACTGCTGGAAGGCAGGGAGCTCACCCTCCTCCTCCTCCTCCATCGTCTCCAGGCGCTGCAACCAAGGCAGGTGCTGGGATGGCAGAGCCCCCCCAACCTCACGGTGGGGTCTTAACCCCCTCCCCACATCCTGGCAGGGCAGGATTCCTGCCTTCCCCCTCCCTGGCTCACCCAGCCGGTGGATTCCAGCATTTTGAGGTCCACGGGGTCCCCGACGAGCTGTGCCCGCAGCAGGGCCAGGCTGTGGCAGGTGGCCAGGGTGTAGAGCAGGGGCCCGGCCGGGAGGCACCGCGGCTCGTGCACGATGGGCAGGAACTGGTTGTTCTCCAGGGGCACCACCCCCCACACGTCCAGCCCTTCCTCCGTCAGCGTTCCCGTCTGCGGGGAGAGCCCGCGGTGTCCCGGAGATCCCTCCAGCGGGAATGGGAGCCCAGCCCCGCCCCGCTCACCTTGTCGAAGCAAACCAGGCGGATCTTCCCGCACAGGTTGATGCGGGGGGGGCTGATGCAGAAGATTCCCTGCCTCTTCAGCCTGTTCTGGGCGTAGATGGTGCCCACGGTCATGGCAGCCGGGAGCGCCGGCGGCACGATGACGGTCACCAGGTCCAGGGCGCGGATGATGATCTGCCCCACGGGCACCTGGCGGGGCAGGAGGGACAGGGTTGGGCATCCCCCACATCCTGACGGTCCCAGGAGATCCCATGGGATCCTCCAGCTCCCCCGGCCCTACCTGGTTCCTGACCAAGATGAGGATGCTGTACAAGGTGCCGACGAAAGCTGTGGCAGAGGGAGAAGAATCATAGAATCATAGAATTAACTGGGTTGGAAGAGACCTCCGAGATCATGAAGTCCAACCCTTGATCCAACCCCACGGTGATTGCTAGATCATGGCACTCAGTGCCACATCCAGTCTCGTCTTAAAAACCTCCAGGGACGGTGAATCCACCACCTTTCTGGGCAGGTCATTCCAATGCCTGATCACTCTCTCTGTAAAAAGAACTTCTTTCTAATATCCATCCCAAACCTCCCCTGGCAGAGCTTAAGCCCGTGCCCTCTTGTCCTGCTGCTGACTGCCTGGGAGAAGAGATTGAGCCCCACCTGGCTACAAACACCTCTCAGGTAGTTGAAGAGAGTGATGAGGTCACCCCTGAGCTTCCTCTTCTCCAGACTAAACAACCCCAGCTCCCTCAGCCTCTCCTCATAGGACTTGTGCTCAAGTCCCTTCCCCAGCCTGGTTGCTCTTCTCTGGACCTGCTCCAGCCCCTCAATGTCTTTCCTAAACTGAGGGGCCCAGAACTGAACACAATTCTCAAGAGTTACTGAGCGAAGCTGAGGGAGGGGGTTCAGCCCTTCCCCAGGACTCTGGATGCTCCCGGAGGTGTCTCCGCGCTCAGACCTACCCAGGACAGAGAGGAACAGCACGAACTTCACGGCATCCTTGTAGAACTTGAAGCTGACGGGTTTGGGGTAGAGGATGGAGCTGATGAGATCCCCCTTGGCCGTGCAGAACCCTGCGGGAACGGGGCCGGGGGGTCACCGCCGATCCATCCAAGGGTGCGGATCCATCCCGGTTTCCCTCCTCGATCCATCACCTGTGCGGGTCACCACGGCCAGCACTTCCCCCCCCACGTAGGACTTGGCCTGGATGACGTGTGTCCCGCAGAACAGGGTGTGCCTCCGGTGCTCCTCCGGGGAATACGCGGCCCCGGCCGCCTGCGCCGCCGCCGGGAGAGGCGTCTTCATCACCGGCACGCTCTCCCCTGGGGAGAGACAGGGCTCTGTCACCCTGGGGAAGCAGGATCCGGCCAGCCTGCACAGGAAGGGGCTGCCAGAGGGTCACTGAGACACGAGGCTCGTCCTGTCCCCGGGAATCCCCTGGGAACGGCGGGATGGAGGACTCACCCGTCAGCATGCTCTCATTGACCATGCACTCGCCCGTCAGCAGCGCGGCGTCGCAGGGCACCAGCATCCCGTCCCTGGGAATGCTGATGCAGTCCCCTGGCACCAGCTCCACCGAGCTCACCACCGCCTCCTCTGGAAAACAGCGTGGCCGTGCTCAGGCACCGCATCCCAAGGCCATCCCAAGAAGTTCCAGGCTGGAGTGCTGCCCTCACCTCCGCTGGGCCGGTGCACTCGGACACCCACCGACATCCTGGCCATGGCCTGCAACGTGCTGCTTTGCTGGCAGAGAGGGAGGGAGGGAGAAGGTAAAACCATCTTAAAAATACAGCAAAGCATCCCCAGGATGGGTCTCAAAGGTTTGGGATCAGGGATGAAGGACAAGGAGAGCCATCCCACCGCTGGACTGTGGGTTGTCCTCACCCAGCTGGGCTCAGGGGCAGCTCAGCACCAGCACAGAGGGCAAAGGGCAGGAAAAATGGGCTGTTTCAGAGAGATGCTGATCCCACCAACCTTCCTGGTCTCGTAGAGGGACAAGCCCAAGGAGATGGTGGAGATGAGGAAGATGCAGGCGGCGTAGTAGTAATAGGCATCACACACCCACAGCATGATGCTGAACACTTGGAAGATGTAGAAGGGATTGAGCACCTGGAACGATGGAAAGAGAAGTTTTGGGAAATGGGGAGAACTTCTTCCAGTCCTCTGTGAGACTTCCAGGCTCCTGGGAGGAGGGAGAACTTTCTTAAGATATCAGGAGACCTCCAGGCTCCTTTTGAGGAGGGGAGACCTTCCTCCCTCCAGGGAGGTTGGGAGAGCTTCTTCCAGCCCATCATGAGACCTCCAGGCTCCTTGAGGGACAACAGCTCACGTGGAGAAGCTGGTCCTTCCTTGGGGATAAACCAGCTGATGTCCCATAAACCCTCCATCCTCCCCAGTTTTCCTCATGGATGGTGCTCCTGAGGACGCCCAGCCACCTCCACAGCTACCCGGGGGTGCTCCTGTCCCAGCCAGGACGGGTTCCCTGAAGGGCTGTACCAGCTCTGCCTTCTCCCAAAGTCCTCTCCTCCTTTCCCAAGGGCCCACAAAGCACTTGGAGCGAGGGACATGGAGCCAGGGAATGATCTGCCCTGGGAAAGCCCACTCCTGGAAAGCTCAGCCCACGGACACCCACCCACCTCCTCCACCAGCAGCCTCGCGTAGGACTTGACGGGCACCTCGATGAGGTTCGGGCCGTAGATCTTCCTCCTGGGAAGAGAAAAGGAGAGGGAAGGAAATCTGCCCTTGGGAGAAGCAGCATTCCCACCCCGAGGGTGCTGCCCACACCTCCATGGGAGCCTGGTTGGGTGGAGAAGCCAAGCCCAGGAATTCCATCCCACCCGCCTGGCCGGGGTTTTGACGCAAGACAAAGCCAGGTTCCAGGATCTTCTGCTCCTGGAAGAGCCTTGTGTGCTCCCTGTGCACCCCACAGGGATCCCTACCTGGTAGTGTGGTCTTGCTGGTCCAGCCCAGACTGGGACAGGTGGAGATCTGCGCAGGTCCAACCCTCATCCAAGACGCTGGGAAGGAAAAACGGAGAGACGGAGTCAAAATCAGCGGGAACAGCGGAACAAACAGAACGTCCAAGTCCCTGGGAACATTAAAAACCCCCTTGGGAAAAGGGAGAGTGCTGTGTTCCTTGGCCTCTGCAGCAGCTGGTGAGTGCCAAGGAAAGCCAACAAAAGGGGCACAGTTCGGAGCGCTGGGAGCATCCGGAGCTGCCAAACTGCTCCGTCCGGTTCCCTGTGCCCGGAGAGGCACCCACAGCCCGGGGCAGGGACCCGTCACCACGGCAGAGGGACAATCCAGAGCAGGGCTGGGGCTTCCAGAGAGTCCAGGAGGAACTCTGAGGCGGTCAGGGCAGGGATGGAGAGGGGCAGGGCCCGGGAATACCTGACTTTGCAGAAGAGCTGCCGCCGCTCCAGCCACACGTAGCGCATTCCCTGGAACAGGTAATACCTCAGGATGTTCTTCTGAGCCCGCAGGGACGGAAAAGAGAAGGTGTTGGTGGGGCACTAGGGTGGTCCCCGGGAAGGGAGAGGGTTCCTGGCGGTGTGGGGAGGTCCCAGGCATCACCTCCTCCTTCTGGTGGAGCCGGATGGTGTCCCGGCTCTCCTCCTCCTCCGACACTCCGATGGCGATGCTGCTCCTCCGGTCCTCCGGCCGCGCCCCGGGGTGCTGCTCCAGGCTGGCCAGGGGGACTGAGGCTCAGCCCTGCCCAGCCACCCCCTCCCCCAGAGCCCCCCGAGCCCGTGGCAGGGCCAGCCCCGCTCACCTGGCCTCGCCCAGCGGCTCCAGCAGCACCCGCGTGGTGAAGCACTGCCCGAAGCGGTCCTGGAACACAGGCACGGGTGGGAAGGGACACGGGACATCCCTGCTCAGCCCACAGGGAAGGCAGGGAGGCCCTGGCCACCCGTCCCAGGGGATGGAAGGGGGGGTTTGGGGATAGTGAAGGGAGATACAAGGCCCGGTTGGCTGGCAGGGAAGGGGAAAGTGCAGAACTAAGGACTAAGAATTATTCCTGGAATAATAGGATAGTATTGTTATATTATTAATAATAAACCAATGATATTATATAATAAATATGCTATGTAACATATATTTATGTATTATTAATACTGACAGCAACATGGCATCACAATGAGAATATTTTTAGATATAATGATGAAAATACGATCAGGATGATAATAATTTGCTAATAAAAAATTCCTGGAACAACTTGGTGCTGGGGCACCTTGATGGAAGTTGAGGGTTCCTTGATGGAAGGAGATGCCAGATACAGAGAGGGTGACCAGCAGCAAGGACCTGCTGGGAGCCCAAGCCAGATCCACGGGATCCCAGCATGGAGAAGGTTGGAAGGAGCAGAGCTGGGACCTGCAGGAACTCACCCTGATGATGACCCAGTCTGCCTGGCCCAGGGCACAGGGTTTGCACTTGGCCTGCACTTCCAGGCTGGGCTTCCAGTGGAACAGGAGCAGGAGCAGCCCCGCGGTGAGCACGGAGCCCACGTGGCACAGCAGCACCCGCCACGGGCGGCTCTGGTACCCCGACACCTCCTGCAAGAGAGCGCTCACCTGGGCCTGCCTGGCCACGACAGCAGCTCACATTAACACTGTCAGCCATTAAACCCCAAATCCAGACAGGCCTGGGTCAGAAAATCGACTCAAATTAACATTATCAGCCATTAAACCCCAAATCCAGACAGGCCTGGGTCAGAAAATCGACTCAAATTAACATTATCAGCCATTAACCCCCAAATTGATAAAATTCCCGAGCTTCCCAGCGGGATTTAACCCCAGGCAGGTGACATCCAACACCTCTGAGGGTGGAAAACCACAGCCTGGTGCTGG